ACCATTAATATAATTTCCCACAAAAAGAAACATCATTCTAGAGAATGCTATCTCAAATGCTTCACTCAGGCAATTTCATTGCCTCAAGTATAAGGGTTGAAAGATAAAGAGTGTAACAGGAAACAGGGGGAATTAAGTATTGCATTATTTTTTTAAGTATTCAATTTTTACTTGCTTCAATGTACATGGACAGGATAAATAATTATTTGATCCAAATAAAATCAGTTGGACGTGGTATTGAAAGGAGTAGAATATATTTTTATATTTTGACTATTATTCCTTCATTTTATCTTCCATCAAGTATACATCAAATGTTTTGATTTAACACATTTTAATAGAAAGATTACATTTTCTCTACCTATATTTTCCCAACTTCTTTTACCTTCCGATTGTTTTAAGGACAGGTGCTTCCAAACTTTCATGGAAAAAAATATCTAAATTTTGTGCAAGCTATTCCAGAGTATATAAAATGAGCACTATACTGCAACTCATCCAGGAGGCCAGCAAATCCCTGGTTTAAAAAATGGAGATTGCAAAAAGGGAAGAATGTTGAATAGTTTTAAAAATATGTCAGGCTTAGCAGTCCTTGGATAAGTTAACATCAGCAGAAATATGCACACATATTATTTTAAAATTATAAGAGGGGATGAGCATCATATGTTTCTCACCCAAAACAACTAATGAAGCCATAGACTTTATACACATTTCCACTTCTTATTCTGTAAACTACACTGCATTTTCTGAATAAGGGAACACAAACTGCAATTACAAGCCATTTATGAGGGATATCAAGCCCATATAAATCTTTTCTAATTACACCTTTGGAATCTGACCAAATGTGCTGTTTGACCAATCTTACTTAGAAAATACAACTCTTTTTGTAACTTAAGGTGGACAGTATTATACTCACTAGGTGTGGGGTTCAATCTCCAAACTACTATTATGTGGTTTGTCATAGTTGTTGAAGATTTAAATAAAATTGTAATTTTTATAATTATATCCCACTATGCTAGATTCTCAAACTTGTTGGCAAAATTCTATGACCTGGGTAGCAAGGTTCATGCTGTACCTGGGCCATATACCTGGCACCCATGGAGGTATGGAAAGGAGTCCTATCCTCTTCTGTCTAACCTTCAAAAATAATATTTCCTATTTTTATCATTTTCCTATTTTCTATTCAGTTGTGTTTTGTGTAATTTATAATAAAGAACAACAGATCAAGAAGAAAACTTCCCTTAATGCATATAGGTATATTGCAAGAGGAAAAATAGTAACCAAGCCCTGGACTCTGAAATGTTTAAGGAGTACTAAGGTCACCAATACTGATAGTAGGATACTTAAAATATTAGTATGTGGAGCATATACACTCACTGAGTAGCCATAACCCTGACCTGACCATCAGCATCTTTGCTTAGACAACGTCCTAGGTGAAACTTTGAAAAATGTATTTGTTTTTACTTCAGAAAAAAAGCAAGCATTTTTTGGTTTAGAAAATGTTTATGGTTTTGAATCCTAGTATAAATATAGAAGTCATAACAAATAGAAAGGAGGACCCTGAGTACTCTCAAAGAACATAAGATAGAGGCAAAAACATATTATTACTCCCTACAATATAGTTATAAAAAGAGCTTATTTATATGTATGCTATAAGGTACTGAACCTGGCCTTGGTGATCATACTCATATCTAAAATTTAAATTAAAGACAAGAATAAAAAAATCATCGCCGGAACTAATCTGGCAATCAGAGTATAAGTGCCATCTACTCACCTCAAATGGAGAATGGCTTCTCATTCCCCGAGTGGTTACAAACCTCACTGAAGTTGGAAGGATTTATGATTGCCTCTCTCCTCTGAGATAGGCACCTGGGAGATTGATTGCATTTTCTTGATTATTCCCAAAGCATCAGAGAACAGGAAATTATGCGTGGTCTTTGTTAATTATCCAGGGTACCTTTGATAATTTTATTGAAGAATTTACTTTTTACTTGTAATTTACCTGTTTTCTCCTTTGTTACTATCTTTTATTTTTACTGCATCTACTCAAACATCTGGATATAAATGTGTTATAAATTACTTTAATATTCAGTATTTTCCACAATGAATCCTTCTCAATTTTATGTCTGAGGATGAAGACAAAATTCTTTAAATGTGTCCTGTAGTGTTTTTAAAGATTCAGAACAAAACAAAAATAAAGAATATGTGTGTGACTTTTACTTTTTAATACAAAGGACTACATTGAGCTAATACTCCCATTCCATACCCATAATCATCATCAGTTTTCATTATCTATCTTTCATTTCCCTTTCCTACACAGGAACTTCTTCTACAGAAGTTGATACATGTCCTTAAAAATAATTACAGCCTTCTAAAGTAAATATAATGTACATCTTAATGTGCACATCTGTTGTTATATAACTCATTTTATACCTAAAAGTTCTCACTTGATTATATATTTTAAGTACATTCATTTACTACACACACACACACACACACACACACACACACACACACCAATATTTGACTCTTCTGTTTAATAAAATTATTTTAATCTGGGTCTATCCTCATTTCATATATATTTGTTCCCAATAGGCATTTAGTAATTGATCAGCTCTTGACTTATGCATGTTTCACTGCATTTCACAACTTTGTGTGTGTGGTCCCACTGATCCATAAATGGATATCTCAGTAAAATATCTCCTGAAGTGAGTGCTTGATTAGGGAAAAAATAAGCACATTTAATTTATTTAAATAAAGATAGATGTATTTCAAGATTTCAATATATATTCCACCATCAATACCCTAGAGTTTCATTCTCTGGACATTTATAAATAAGTACTGCTTATACATATGGTGAAGAATTTCAATAAATAATTAAATCAGATTTACCTAGAGAGCTAACTAATTTTAGCTTTAAAACTAAAATTGTTTTACTTAATACATAATGCAAATAGTGGTTTGGATTTGAAATGGAAATATGCATTAATCTATGTCAACAAAAAGTTCAGAGATTATAACACAGATGTATAGACACAACATTTTAATACAGTTTTACTGTATGAACATTCATAATTGTGATAAGATTGAAAATTTGGGATAATGCTGATGAAGTAGTTATTGAAGTAACATAGAACACTGACACCCGATATGCACCCCTATGTTCATAGCTGCACAATTTACAATAGCTAAGATTTGGAAACAGCCTATATGCCCATCAGCAAATGAGTGGATTAAAACTGTGGTACATCTACACAATGGAATATTACACTGCTGAAAAAAAGAAGGAACTTTTTATCATTTGCAACACAGGGAGAAAAGAAAGGAGGGACAAGAAGAAGGAGTAAGGCTGAGGAAGATAGAGAAAGGCAAGTGGGAAATTCAGTAGTTCGGTTATTCTAAGAAGAAGGCCTGATGCCATAACAACCTCTTTTTGACCTCTTTCCACCTATATCTGCAGTGAGTTTACTTCATTTTCAAATTATTTATTTAAAAGGGTTTTTTTCATGTTTGTAGAAGCTGATAACAGAAGTAGCCTTCAGAAAGCCGGGAAGATAGATGTGGCCTATGACAGTTGAACAACTGGTGTGAAGGCCTGTGGACTTCCAGTGAGAGAGCGTTAAATGTTAGTAATGTTTTATACATACAAGCAAAGATATTGATGAGGCTGACCAGCAGACCCTGAGTGATAGATGGATGATTACTCTGACACAACATTTGCTGTGAAAGAGAGGGATAAGGGACAGCCTGGCTAAAGGAAACAGGCAGCCTCCATTGCCTGACTTTGTTAGGCTTTCATTGTATAATAGCAGCAGTTTGAGATAAAGTTTATCTTTTAGATACAATCAGTAGGGTAAGTAATATTGGGAGGACATATGTGTTTGTAGTTTTTTTATGCAAGGATACCTAAAAATTAAGCATAAGGATTCCCGTAAATACCTGGGAATCTGCATGTGCACAGACTTGTTTGGAAAGGTCAAGGAATAATTAGGGGCACTGCCTCTAGCACTCCCCTAAGTTAGAATTCTGATGAACAGGGTGGGTGGCCTTCTGCACACTTCCCTTTTCTCAGAATGCCCTCCTTACAAACTTTCCAGCCAAGTCTCATGCTTCTCCAAAGATATGACACATAATGACTGTCAACTTTTTTTGGGGGGTGGTGGTGGTGGTGATGAGTTCTCTTCAAATTACTGTCACTTTGTGGACAACAGCATTCTTGTCTAATAACAGGTCACTTCAAAACCCAATAATAAAAATGATAAAGCAAGTTTTTATTGTTATAATTGCATATAAAAGACACCAAAGTTTTTAGTATAAGACTATAATTTTGAAAAAGTCAAATACATATCATATTTGGATGAATAGCAATTCTTTGCTTTGTGTACATACACCAAGTGAAAGGCATAATGTGAGAGGATAAAAAGTAGACTCCCCTTTTTACATATTTTTTCAGTCTATCTTGCCACATGACATCTTTCTTCTTTTTCATGACTAAGCATTTTTTTGTTTAGTTTTTATTTTCTTCTGAAGGTTCATTTGTTCCATTCTGTGATATAAATATATTTTAAGTTCAAGATAAAAGTGGGTGGGTCCAAAAAGTTGAGAAATTGATGGACAAAATGCTACAAAAAAATAACACAACTTTTACTAGCTGAACAAAAATATCTGTGGTAAGGAAGATAATTTCACTCAACCACTTTGCAAGAAACGAATCATACATACCTTCACCACCAGCCATCAGGTTTTATCATCCTTGTTAGAAATTATAAAAACCCTTCAGTAACTTTGACTTTGTTTTAAAATGCATTTATCTTAAAATTATTATTTATTACTTATGTAACTGGTATTTTCTTTGGTCAATTAATGCATTTTTCTAAAGGGAAAATTGGGTATTTGAGGTTGGGTAAAAAGGATTAAAAAATCCATAGAATTTTAAACTATTGCTTCTTCTCCCCCCCTCCCCCAGAAGCAAAAGAAAACCCTTAAATGAAGATAGTTGTTATTTTTTACATTAGTTTGAATGACTGGCATGGGTTATCCCAGTACCTCTTCAATGCCTCCTTCACATCCTTGTTCCGTAGGCTGTAAATAAGGGGATTCAGCATTGGTATCACGAGGGTGTAGAAGACTGAGGCCATTTTATCCGTATCTAACGAGTGATTGGTCCTTGGTTGCAAATACATGAAGAGAAGGGTCCCATAGAAGATAGTGACAACCATCATGTGAGAAGCGCAAGTGGAAAAGGCTTTTTGTCGCCCCTCTGAGGAACGTATCCTCAAGATGGCAAGGATGATGTTAAAGTAGGATATTAAAACAACAATCATAGAGAAAATCAAATTAATTCCTGAAAAGGTAAACACAGCAGTTTCTGGAATATAGGTATCAGAACACGACAATTCTAATAAGGGGATATTATCACAGTAAAAGTGGTTGATTATGTTGGAAGAGCAATAGGACATAGAGAACACACAGGAGGAGACAGTCAGTGCTGTGGTCAGACTGAAGAAGTATGCAAGGGACGCCAGCAAAAGGCAGATCTGTGGAGACACTATCACCAGGTAGAGCAGGGGACTACAAATAGCCACGTAGCGATCATAGGCCATTGCAGCCAGCATTAAAATCTCAGCAGCAGTAAAACCTATGAATCCACCCATTTGCACTGCACATCCATAGTAGGATATACTTTTCTTTGAAACCAAGAAATTAACCAGCATTTTAGGGGCAATGACAGTAGAGTTGCCAAGGTTGATGACAGCCAAGTGCCGGAGGAAAAAGTACATGGGGGTCTGAAGTCGAGAGTCCACGCTGGTGAGGGTGATGATGCTCAGGTTCCCAGCCAAGGTCAGCCCATAGATGACCAGGAAAACAAAGAAGAGTGGAATCTGGAGCTCCGGATATTGTGAGATGCCCATGAGAATGAATTCTGTCACCTGCGAGAGATTCCCTGGGGCCATTGATTTCATTGCTTTCATCAGTTAATGAGGAAAATGAAAAAAGATTAATAGACAACCAACTTGTCTCTGTTCAGTGCCATATTGTTAAATGTTCATGCAAAATTAGTTGATTTTTATTGTTCTTTATTACTTTTGAATTATTTTTAAAATGTATTTTTATTAACTTTATTGGAGTGACATCGGTTAATTGGATTATATGTTTTGAGTGTACAATTCTATGATATACCTGTGTATGTTGATCAGTTTATTTTTGTTCAAATCTTAAAATTAAAAATGCCATCTCCAGAGACCAATTTCAGGATCTTAGAACTGTTTGAATAAGCTGCTAATTTATTTTTAGTCACTCCTGAATATAGTTTGTATTGGATGAATACACACAGTTTATATTATTATATTTATTAATATGTATATGTATTTATTAATTATATTAACATTTACAATTGCATGAATATATATGTACATATATATGTATATATAGATATATGCATGTATATACTTGTATATACATGCCTCTGAGAGTGAGTGTGTCCATGTTTCCAATGATAAAACAGTTACCTGTAAGAAACAGATGAGCCAGAAGGACTTCCAGTTATTTTTTTCCTTAGCTGCCATAGGCCTTCTCTTCAGCCTATATCTTGTCATCATCATCCTTGGGAATTTCTGGGATTTTCCTTAGATACTGAGATTTTCCTTATCAATTTCCATCACACTGCTCTGTTTTAGCTCCCCATAGATCACACCTCAAAACTGTTCCTTAGTATTATTCAGAAACTGTGTCCTCTTCACTTAATTATATTTTCTTTTACCAAATAAGCCAGTCCAGTCCTATCAATCTAACTTCTAATTGTTCAGATTTTTCTCTATTGTTTTGTTCTAGTAGCCTTTCCTTCTCTTTCCAGCTTATGCCTCCTTCCTTTAAATTGTTTAAAGCCTGTTTTGATTTAAAAATATATATATATTTTATTGATTTTCTACAGAGAGAAAGGGAGAAGGATAGAGAGTTAGAAACATCAATGAGAGAGAAACATGGATCAGCTGCCTCCTGCACGCCCCCCACAGGAGTTGTGCCCACAACCAAGGTACATGCCCTTGACTGGAATTGAACCTGGGATCTTTCAGTCCACAGGCCGATGCTCTATCCACTGAGCCAAAAGCAGTTTAGGCTGTTTTGATTTTTTAAGTCATTACTTATAGTTTTGATTTGTTAAAGCTTGATCATTGTTTTAATTGGGTAAAGAAGTAAACGGGTAACAGTGCTAATATTATTTATCATGTGCCCACTCTGTGCCCAGAGCTGTGCAAGGCATTTTGAAAGAGTTGATCTCATTATTCTACAGGAGAGTCCTAAAAAATAGATGTAATTATTTCAATGTGTGACAGAACAATGAAGTTTAATGGGATTAAGTGAATCAAAGATAGTTTGTATAAGATATTGGTTAATGGTATGGTTTTATGGTTTCTTTTATATGTTTTGTTTGCTTAGTTGATAGGTTAGTTGGCTGGTTTCTTGTTAATTCACTAATTACTAGCTGTGATTTTTTTTCAAGTATTGCTACTTATGTTTTGTGTGAATTAAATGAGAATATGCACATGTATAGGTTAGTTGGCACAGTTTCTGGTTACAATGAATGCAAAATAATTGGTACCAGTTGTTTATGTTATCAGTATGTTTTGAAATAATCTGGTTTATTATTTTGGCTCTTGTATCCCATTCAACCTAACTGAAGTCTTTATAGTTAACATAGAAATAGCAAGTGAATTATAATTCTGCATATTTCAGAAACTGGGATACAGGATATGCAGCTACATATTTAATAAACATATGAGGCTGTGCTCTCACACAACTTGATCTTTTAAAAACAGTGGTGTTCATTTGTTTTCATTTGAAGATGCTTAGTTCCATATATCAGATATATGTCTAATGAGCTAATCTGATGGTATTGCACTTCATCAAAAAAGAACTGCATAAATAAGCTTTTGATAGAAAACATTGTGTTCAGGAAAACATGCAATACTCATTGATCAAAATATTCCATTTTTTTGCTACATATCAAGCAACTCTGTGCATGTTTTCCTCTGCGATAATATACTCAATAAATTCATCCCTAGCAAGAACAAAATGCAGAATCAACAATAGCAATTATTGATTATCTACCATGAATTTGTACAAGTAGCTTTTGAAAAGGAGAGTATATTATTATATCCTTATCTACTATGTATTTCCTCTTCAACTGCAGTGTAACTGAAGGCAAAGCTAGAGTTGCTTTTTATTTCAGTTAGTATATGCCACTGAAATAAAGTTTCTGTAGAATTGCCTCAGTTTTTCTTGTTTCTTCAGAACTTTGTCTCATGTAGCATTGTTTTAAAAAAAGAACAATTTTATTTTTCTTACCAATAATTTTTCTAATTTGTTTTTGAATATAAATAGTTTATAGGTCTACCAAGTTAATACATTCTCAGCAAATACAAATTTTAAAATATACATAGTTTTAATCATTTTATCTTATATTTTTATAAGACATGATAGTACAGATTAATTTTAATTAGCTTCTGATATAATTTCAAAACTATGTTTCATTGAGATTACTCTATGTTTAATTGAGATTATATATTCTAACTGTAGAGTATGTCTTAAATTTATTTAGAGATAGGTTGTGTTAGGAACAAACACTGCATCCTGATAGGAGTTCTCAGTGTTCTATCAGCAACTAATTGTTGACATCAGGGAATTTTTTCATCCTAAGGTTTATCACCCTGAGCAATGCCAAAAGAAAGAAGGGGAGAACAAGTTGTTTTTCTTGATAGTAAGTAATTTTGTAGGTCTCTCTTGAAGACATAGATCTTATATGACATAGACACTTGAGAAGTTTTCTATCTGGTGTAGAGTGCCCTCTAAAACATTCATCAATTCTGCCAGTTCTAAAAAACATTCTTTTTTTTATATTAAGGTGAAATATACTCCCTGTAATGACTATTCATTATTCTGTCTAAATGCTTAAGCAGTCCAATTTACCAGTGGGGATGCTGGACACTATTTTTTAAGTCATACCACCATCACTTCCACTTAGCAATCAGTGGGCAAGTGGAGAAAAGAGAACAGAGCAGATAACATTTTGGTCCTGGGATCTGATTTGAATTACTCAGCTTCCAAGATACTTGGTCCAACAGCCAGAATTAGTAATGACTATTTGCTTTAACCTACCTGTACACAAAGATCTGCTGAGACCTCCTCCTAAGGTTGCTCCAGGAAGCATGTTAAAGAGTTTTAATCCCTGAACACCTTCATACTGAAATACATTTGTATGTAGTCCCATTCCTCAAACATGACAACCAGAATTCCCAAAGCTCTAATTCCCCCCTGGAAAGACAAATTAAGTGCTCATTAATCTAGTCTCCATCCAAAACTTTCACCCAAAGAATGAGAATTGTGTAGATAGCTTAGGGACTCTCTTAGATAATCATATTGAATAACAATCACATGCACTGATTCCATTCTTTGTTTCAAATTGCACCCCTATATTTGGGAAGTGTTGCTGGCCCTTGAGATGGAGGAAATCTAATAAAAGCACCAGGTTCTGGCCCCAATGTTCAATTTTATTTTATTTTATTTTATTTTATTTTATTTTATTTTATTTTATTTTAAATATATTTTATTGATTTTTTTACAGAGAGGAAGGGAGAGAGATAGAGAGCCAGAAACGTCAATGAAAGAGAAACATCGACCAGCTGCCTCTTACACACACACACACACACACACACACACACACACACACACCATCGGGGATGTGCCTGCAGCCAATGCACATGCCCCTGACTGGAATCAGACCTGGGACCCCTCAGTCCGCAGACCGACTCTCCACCACTGAGCCAAACCGGTTTCGGCCCCAATATTCAATTTTAATGTCAATGCTTTGGAGTAGATTAAAGACAGCATCTCTATTCTTACAACATGAACAAGACCTTGGGCTCAGCCAATGTGACTTAGTGGATGAGCAGAGACCTATGAATGGGGAGGTCACAGTTCGATTCCTAGTTGGGCCATATACCTGGGTTGTGGCCCAGTATGGGGCATGCAGGAGGCAGCCAATCAATGATTCTCTCTCATCATTGATGTTTCTACTTCTCTCTCACTTTCCCTTCCTCTCTGAAATCAATTAAAAAAAAAAAAGAAAAAAAAAAAAGAACAAGGCCTAGTGTATTTGTCATAAATATTAGGTGATATACAACATAAATTCAAAATGTGAATGGTTGTAAGAAGATTGAATATATTTTTTATTTAAATTATATTAGTTAGATATATAATTTAGTTATGTGATTTTAAAGATTTTTGTTTCCTGTGTCTTAATCTACTTTTAATATAACTTTAACTTTAATAAAGAAGCAGTGATACCTTACATATCACTCTCTAGAATATTCTGTACTTTAAGGCAGGACACAACTGTGCTTTTACATCCTGGTATGACTAAGAAGGTTACCTCACGTTTTAAGCTAAAAAATTAATGAAGAAACAGACAAACTGTGAACAATAAGGAGATTTTTTAACAACTTCAAGTTATCAGTATAATGAATTTAAATCCCTGAGGTTCTTTTCAGATTCCAAATAGTCCCATGAAGATTATGTGGTAGCTTCCTCTATAATGACCAATGGCTATTGCCTTTCATGTGAGCAAAGACACAGTCAGATTGTACTGTGCTCAATCCTAATAAAGAGGTAATTGACCATCACTCCAACACATAAGATGGCTGCCCCCATGTGGTCAAAGATAACCAACAGGGGAAGGTAGTTGGGAGGGACCAGGCCTGCAAGGGTGGGCAGTTGGAGGTGTCCAGGCCAGTAGAGGATGGCAGTTGGGGGTGACCAGGCCTGCAGGGAAGGACAGTTTGGGGGGACCAGGCCTGCAGGGGAGGGAAGTTGGAGGTGACTGGGCTGGCAGAGGAAGATAGTTGGGGTCATTGGAGGAGAGAAAACGGCAAGGGGGGCAGTTGAGGGCAAGCAGGAT